ACATGCTAACTATTATTTCTATGTCACTAGTCACTTGAAACAAATTTAGGACGATAGGAGACGGGTTGAAATAAACCGAAATTTCCCTTTAAGGCCCAGACACATCAAACTATCATCAAAGTACTACTGGCAAAAAAGGCAGACTGTTGAGTCGCCTCATGTCGCCAAAAAGTTGCACTCAAACACATGGCAAAGACTGCAGCTAATGGCCAACTAGCACGTACATTCTGCACCTGCATAAGAGGAAATAACTATCCGTTCAAGATGCTTGTTTGCCAGTTAGCACATTAACAACACAGCCCAGCATTGAAATAATAAATGATATCTACCGTGAGCTAGCGAGCAATAACAAACAAGTATGAACCATTTCTGCTAACGAGCTCAGTGACTAAAAAATAAATAAATAAATATCGATATCGAACAACAGCTGACCGTTGACTGATGTTTCAGGGCCCTTTTATGTCCTCGTGTGGGACAAAATGCGTTTAGGTTAAAAAAAACCAACTAATAATATATTAGGCTACTGGATTTTTATTGCTCACAAATTCAGGCCAATATTGGCATCAGCCTCAGAAATCCATCATTAGTCAGGCTGTGATATAATCATGCAAGCAAATAAGCACACATTTGTCATTCTTCTATGGCAGAGGTTCTCAAACTGGAGGCTGGTACCCAGACAAGGGGGCTAAAAATAACAAATATCTGCTTCACAACATGCGGTTTTATTTTTTGTACTTTTGTACCTTTGCTTTTTTCCGACTGTAAAGATTAATGCTGCACAGTTCTACCTCTTCAGTCTGCTGACAATAGCTCAAATAAAACAATCCGATAAGGAAAAGGGTTGGACGCCACCACTCTATAGATATACAAAATATTACAAAAGTCTTAACAGCTGAGATTTACCTTGTCTGCAGTGACAAGTGGCATCTCTCTGGGTCTGCTAAAGAGCACCGAGGCCGCCCAGAAAGGCAACACAAAGAAGGGGATGTTCCTCCAAAAGGCTGGTTGAATGTTTGATCCATATTTACCTGCACAAACAGACACATCAATAACAAAAAACAGACACAAACCCACTCAAATGATGTGATGAATCAAACGCAGGCAGCTCTCACCAATAACCACTCCTGGGATGTGAACAATTTGATGGGCGATTGCGGAGCCTGCCCACAGCAGCCCCAGGCTACGATAGGACTTCCTGCATGGACAGAAAATCAACAGCTCTCATTAGAGGGCTCAATGAACAAAAAGTGGATGGGTTTCTGATGGTGATGCTGCAGCTTACCCTTTGAACATGCGGTGGATGATGGTGAAGAAGAGGGCCAAGTGAAAGATGCCCTCCCAGTAAGACATCATCACAGCATAGGCGGTACTTAGATGAGGCTCACCCTGAGGGGACGGCATCACATGATGAATTTTAAAGTTCATCTTATGCTTATTCTAGGTTTATACTTCTATTTCAGGCTTCTACTAGAACATGTTTACACGCTTTAATGTTACAAAAACACTGAAACACTATAGCGCCTGTCTCCTTAAGCCAACCTCCAAAAAAAGCCCAGTCTGCTCTGACTGGTCCACTGTTCTGGGTCTTCAATATCAGCACTCTCTGCATCTCTGCACTGTCATAGCAGCCATTGTCATTGACTGTAAAGGAGAATAGCAGCACTTTCTATTGTGAAAAATCACCAATAAAAGTGTCTAAACTCAACTGGACATGTTTTGGCAGGAATATAGGATCCTAGTAGCATAGGCTGCCAGATCAAAGTTTTGATGACTGAATGCCAATTTAGGGAGCCAGCATATGATGGTGGGTCACACAGCCATGGAGCACTTTTTTCCATGATGGCTCTGCCATCTTACTTCCACAAAACTGCAGAGTTGTCCCAAATCGCTAAATCCTGAGGTTAATTTCAATACCTTTTAAAGACTTTTTTAAGACCTTCCAAAAAAAACCTTAAGACCTCATCGCCACTTCAAGCTGTCGTTAGCAGCAACGCATCTTTAACTTACTAAACAGTTGTAGTTTGCAATTAAATCTATGGAGCACAAACA